GCTGACATTTTCTAGTTTTAAGTTAAAGACCACCAGGTGTGGTGGCACACGCCTGTAATCCCAGCACTTGGGAGGCTGAGGCAGGACAATCACTGTGAGCTTGAGGCCAGCCTGGGCTACAAAGTGAGCTCAAGGCCAGCCTGAACTGCATAGCGAGACCCTGTCTCACAAAGATAGATAGATAGATAGATAGATAGATAGATAGATAGATAGATAGATAGATAGATACCATCTTTTCCAGAGGCGCTGACTTGGCCTCCAGCTCTGATAAGCCTCACTTACCCTCCTTGATGACAGGCTTATCATTTTTATGGTGAGAGTTGAACCAGATCTCTTAAGTACTTTGCTAGTCTGAAATTCTTTAACTCTGTGTTGTGACTCTTAGCCAAATATCAAACACAGAGTGAACAGCACATTATCCAGACGTAGTACATAGTCAGTGATTGCACCTATTTGTAATTATTAGAGCATTTTTCCCATGCAGTTTTCTTTTTCTTTTGGCTTTGCGGGTGGTGGGGAGTCTCGCTATATAGCTCAGGCTGACCTCAAACTTGTATGTATCCCAGGCTGGCCTCCATCTTGTAATCCTCCTGTTTCAGCCTCCCAAGTGCTGGGATTATAGCCATGTACCACTGTACCCAGGTCATGAAGAGATTTTCAAAATTGTTTTTGTTTTTTTGTTGGTTTTTTTGTTGTTGTTTTTTTCAAAATTGTTTTTGATGACTTGAATAATAAAGGTTTAGAGACCAACCAAAACATTCTTTGCTCATTTGGATACCCCTATCGTTAGCTATTTCTGGGTTTTTTTTGTCGGGGGGGGGGGGATTATTTGTTGGTTTGGGGTTTGTTTGTTTTGTTTTGTTTTTATGAGACACAATGTTGCCATGTAGTTGAGGCTGGTTTTGAACTCACTATATAGCCCAGGCTAGCCTTGAACTCACAGCAATCCTCTTCCTCAGCCTCCCAAGTGCTAGTCATGCACCACTATTTCAGTATAGCTCTGGTTACTAGGGAAAACTTCAGCTGCTGATTGGTAACTGTACTTTGTCTCTTTAAAACTGGTATGGTGGCACATGCCCATAATTCAAGCACTATGGGAGGCTGAAGCAGGGGGACCCCAAGTTCAAACCCAGCTTAAGTGATTTAGCAAGACCCCATCTCAAAATTAAAACTGTTTAAAAAAAAAAAAAAAAAAAGCGCTGGAATCAGGCATAGTGGTGCAAGCCTGTAATCACAGCACTGAGGACCTGAGGCAGGAGGATCACTGTGAGTTCAAGGCCAGCCTGGGCTACATAGGAAGACCCTGTCTCCAAAAGAAGGGAAGGGAGAGCCGGGGATATAGCTCAGTGGCATAAGTGCCTACCTGGCAAGCGCAAGGTCCTAAGTTTGATTCCCAGTACCAAAAGCCGGGGGTGGGGGGGTGGGAGGGCTGAAGATGTAGCTTAGTATGAAGACCCTGGGCTCAATCCCTAATCAAATAAGCATATCCTAAATGAGGCTGATGGATGTTGTTTTGTATTAAAACTGTTATGTTAATAAAGGGTTAGAATCAAGTACCCGTGTGAATTGACTGAGGAGAAAGAAACTATGGACTTGATGCTTTAGGTTGGTAAAGAGAACCTCTGTGCAAACATTTAGTCTGGCTTATTAACCATAAAGAAATTCCCTTTAAAATACCTTGCATAAGAAACTGCCAGCATCAGAATCTCAAGGCAGGTCATCCAGTTGTGGAACTTCTGTCCTGTGGAAGCTATTTCACGAGGCTATGTCTGTTTTTGTGTCTGTCTCCTCCACATGACAGCTTGTACACCTTTTCTCCTAGCATTTTTTCCTGGCTTGCAGTCATCCCTCTTCTGTTCTCATTCATATTACTCAGGCAGGCTTCTCCTCTGTTTCTCTTCTTGACTCCTTCCATTCCATCTTATCATCCTCATTCTTCTTTTGAGGTAGGGTCTCACTAAGTTTCCCATACTGAGCTGGAACTTGGGCCTTTCCTGCCCCAGCCTCCTGGAGTTCTGGGATTATAGGTATGCATATAAACGGGCCTGGCTACTCATTCTTGTCAGCGCAAGACAGATAGAAACTAAATCCACAAATAAATAGCAAAATAAGTTTACTCCGGCTCTCTATGTTTTGTTTTTGTTTGCTTTTGTTTTTTGAGACACTATGTAGTTCAGGCTGTCCTTAAATTTGCTTATGTAGACCAGGCTGGCCTCAAACTCAGGGTGATTCTCCTGCCTCAGCCTCCTGAGTGCTGGGATTATAGGTATGTGCCACCATGCCCAGCCTCTCCATGATTTTTGATCCCCTCCTCTAATAGAGATTCAACCCAGGGCTTTTTCACTGAACTACATTCCCAGCCCTCTTTATTTTTTATTTCGAGACAGAGTCTCAATAAATTGCCCAGACTAAGCTCCAGTTTGCAATCCTCCTGCCTTATCCTCCCATAGTACACACTCAGCTACAAATATAGTATTTGTTTTCTTTTTGTCTTTCTGAGACGGGGTCTCGCTATACAGTTCAGGCTGGTCTTGAGCTCATTTTGTAGCCCAGGCTGGCCTCGAACTCGCAACAATCCTTCTGCCTCAGCCTCCCAAGTTCTGGGATTACCAAATATAGTATTTTAAACAAATAAACCACAGCTATAACCAGTAAGGAAAATTGCAGCTGTTGGTGACTGTTCTTTGTCATCTATTTGGAGCCATCCCATTACTAATATAATTTGAAAATTATTCTTATCCAAGCCAAAAGCAGAACTATTGTCACAGAATATTATTAGTGGGTTACTAGTGATTTATAAATATATAATAGGGATTGATTTTTCTCAGTGTTTCTTCATTGCTCACCCCTTTTCTAACCTTCACTGACTGAAACTAGATGCATATATCACCGTCTCTGATTCTGCAGAATTGACCTGTCCTTATACCACGCTTCACATTGATTGTGTATGGAACATAAATTGTTTTCCTGCTGCATGCACATTTATAGCTCTTTTAGTCTACAACCATAGAGAATAACTTTAACCTGAGTTCATAGTTAATTGAAAGGGATATGCTAAAATTTTGTCATTGTGCAGTCTGGTAACAAAGTAGTTAAACATGCTAAAGAAATATATCAAAATTTATAGTAAAGAAGGAATTAGTATAGGATTTTGTTTATTTAAAAGTAAATAAGGCAGCTGTTATTTTTGCTAAATAACATAAATGATGACATAGCTATAACTTCTGATTAAGTTTGCCTTTAGGACTGGGATTGTCACTCAGGGGTAGAGAACATGCTTAACATGCACAAAGCCTTGGTTTTGATTCCCAACACCAAGAAACAAAAATAAAAACCTGATCTTAGAATACAAATGTGACCTGTTGAGACTTTGGTTTTTAAGGTCAGTTATATTCATAGCTGTTTTAGGTCTGTTTTACACTTGAAATCAGAATGTGCATCAGGGATGGTGGTACACACGGTAATCCCAACACTCAGGAGGGTCAAGCAGGAGGATCAAAAGGTCAGGGCCAGCCTGGGCTCCATAAAAAGTTCAGTGCTGGCCTAGGCTACATAGTGAGAACATTTCTCAGAAAAAAAAATTTTTTTTAATCAACGTGTGATTTTGTGCTAATTATGTTTCCAAAAATGATGCAATGGAGAATCAGTTGGTGCTATTAATATACAGTTCCGTTTAGCGAAAGATATTATATGGGTAACTGTTGTTAACTTCAATTGCTGTCATATAACAGAGTTGGCTAAAAACAAGAACATGCAGATAACCATGAGTGTGGCTTGGACTAGAGTGAGAGTGATAGAGATACTCAGAAATGGTCAGCTTCAGGATATATTTAAAGCTTGAGCCATCAGAATTCACTTTTGGGTGTGAGAGAAAGACATGTTCAGGATAACCTCAAGGCTTTTTGCCTGAACAAGAGGTAAAGTGGAGTTGCCCTTATCTAACATAGGAAAACTTGAGTCAAAGGAACTAGGTTCTGGATACAAACAGAAGTTTGCTTTACCAGCATTTGGAGACATCAAGAGCTTATGGAGCCGGGCGTAGTGGCACGCACACCTGTCATCCCAGCACTTGGGAGGCTGAGGCAGGAGGATTGTTGTGAGTTTGAGACCAGCCTGGGCTACAAAGTGAGCTCGGGCCAGTCTGAACTGCATAGTGAGACCTGTCTCAAGAAGACAAAAAAAAGAGCTTATGGAAAAACATCTGAATTTGTAAAAGAGAATGAAAGAAAATATTATGTAGGGCAGAGAGACACTATGTCATATAAAAGGTTTGTATTAGCACTGTCATGCACAATTGTTAGTTGGTTTCTATTAAATAATTTGCCCTAGATAGTTTAATAGTGTATTCATTCTACTGTGAATCTTCAGATCCTGAGTATGTATAATTATTAATACTATTTTTACTTATGAGACAGTATTTTATCCCTAAAAATTCTAAGTGACATTTTTCAATTGTATGATTACAGAGCATGTACTTATGTGACTCTTTTTCTTATCTGTAAAACAGGGAAGTAATAGCTCCTATGTCTTAAGATTGTTAGGAGGGATTAATATTTGTGCTGCCAAAGGTGACCACTCTTGGGAAGGATTAAATTAGTTCATTTATGGAAAATACTTAGAGTAGTGCCTAGTGTATAATTGGTGTTCAATAAATATTAACTGTTACCAAAAGGAAAAATTTGCTTCTGTGATTAGCTGTGCTGTGTTAACATTAAACCCTGTAGTTCCAAAACTGAAAACATAGATATGTTTATTCTCTTGTATGTAGTACATATTTATGATAATACTTTTTAATGTAAAATGATATATTCTTAATTTTTAAGGAAATCCCAGCAAAATATGTCATACATAATTTTAATTTTTCTTTTGTCTGTGCCTTGTGAAGTCATTGGTTGAGCAGTGCTTGGTTATGTATTTATATGCTACTTTGTCTTAAATTTTATATACCATTTTTATTTTAAACTGCTTTCTAATCCTAAATTATTGTTTTGTCATTGCAGGCAAGAAGACAACAAGACCCTAGTCCTGGTTCCAATTTAGGTGGTAGTGATGATCTCAAACTTCGTTAATAGTAGCACAGCAAATGTGCCGCCCATCTTTACATACACTTGCTTCTAGCTGGCAGGAATAATTCATTATAAGACCAGAAACTGTGATAACTGGAGGTACTACCATCTGTTTCTTAACCTAAGGCAGTAAAAGACATCACAAACTGCCATGGTTTGCACTATGAGTATAATACCTGCGTTCCTATTTTTTTACAGCATGTAGCCAGTAATAATTTGAAATTTTTTTCTATGCAAGCTTACCTTGTTGGCATTATTTTAGTTGAGTTGAAACTATCTACTTGTAAAGCTTTTTTTCCCTCCATTTTAATTTAAAAGTTCATGTCATTTAAAAACAAGAGATTAAAATTTATATCAGAGGATTTTCTTTAATCAGTTGCTCTAAATTTTTTTATACTTTAGATTTGTTGGCTATTCAGCTTGTTTTTAGATAAGCATTCCTGGTTTGGTTTTGTTTTCCTCCTTTTCCTTTTGTGTTTTTATAGTCTACAGCATTTAAAACTGTTGATGTGTTTGCATTATTTACAAACTAAACCTAGTAGCATAGAGCTGTCTGCCACAGCCTTCTCAGAGTTTACAGTGGTTAAAGTTGCAGTATCCTTTTTAAATGCTAATAATCAGTACCCTTTCTTTCCTTTTAAATATAAAATTTTTAAATTGGTGTTAACTGTAACCTGTCCCAAATGTTTTAGATTCTGTTCTGTAATCATGAGTTTCGGTGGAGATATTCTCCATAAACGATAATATTCTACTGAAATGCCTAAAGAAGTCACAGGCTGGCTTCTGTTTTATTCAGGGATTTTTTTAAAAGTCAGTTGGAAAAGGGATACTGGAGCTTCTTCATGTGTATAACAGCTTATTAAACTGGAGACAGTGATGAATCAGCTACAAAGGTGACATTGTATTAAAATCATGTTTAAGATAGCTGCTTTGATGTGTATTTTATATTGCATGCTTTTGTAAAAACAGTACTGGGTGATGAAAGATTAGTCTTAGAGAGAAAATGTTCGTCTGTGCAGAGGATACATTTTCTTCCATTAACTATTCTTGGAAAAACATTCACAAGTATATATGGTATTTTGAAAAAGGACTATTAATATAGCACCTTTTGAGATGAATTAATGTGGGGATATTTTTTAAATAGGCTTATTGTCAAATTGAGTGCAACTTTGTTTTTTGTTTGTTTGTTTTTTAATACAAGACTGGAAAAAAGTGCTAAAGCATTTCGCACATCATTACCAATACTTTACATGGTCATACTCATTAAATGTTACTATATTTCTGAATTTTTGCAAAAATGTATTTTATCATAATAGAATGGCATTATTTTAAATAGTTCAGAAAACTGACAGTTAATTCAGAAAATGAAGTCTGAATAAGGTCATTGCATTTAAAAAGCATATAAATATACTTGATTGATGAAGGAGATGTGACTTTCATTGTATATAATTCATAAGCAGATATCCTGTATCTCAGAATAAAAATATTTGTTTATATATTTGAAGTCATGCATGGTAAGGAGTGTGTTTAAATTGTTATAAACATTAATGCATCAGAAAAGACCATGCCAATCTTGTGTAACTAAGTACTATGAATGAATTTGGTTGGTATTTGTTGTTCAACTCACATGTTTACACACTCAGTGCCCTGATTTCCTCTGAGGGAATCACCTTTCAAGTGATCCTTACAGTGGTGTTTTAAGGTTACTTTAATCACAGAGCTCCTTGGTTTTTGACTTCTGCACTTAATTTTTTTAATAACATGATGGTACATTTTTCTCTATTGCTTCTTGCTAAGGGCTTTCAGTCCACCAGTAAATAAGGTCAAATGTTACAAGTGTCCCTGTTGCCATCCTTCTGTAAATACCAAATTTTTCCTGACATTTAGCACTGTATTGCTTCTGTCTGTCTTAATGCTGGCATTAAGATCATAAGCCCTTTTTTCTCCAGTAGTGAAGGCTTTGAAAACTACTTTTTTAAGTTATTGATGCAATTTGATATTTTTTCATAATCTGTATTTAAACAAAATTACATCATTGCATCATCTTTTCTAAATTCATCTCCATTAAAACTTGCCTTAAGCTACCCAATTGCTTTGCCACCATTAGCCATACTGTGTGTTTGTATGTTTAATTTACTTTCACAATAAACTTCTATGTAGTGAAAACAGAGTCTTGGCTCTTTATTGACATAATCTGGTAATTCTGTCCTGGTGTTAGTTACGAGAGTTATTTCTGAACCTTTGATTCTTTTCACTTTACCAAGGCGAGCAACAACAGTGACATCTAGTGGTCACTTCTGCTAAGAAGACATTTTTCTTAAATGTAGAGATTGCAAGGTACAGTATCATAATTTCCCAGTGTATGTAATGATTTTCAAAATCTGGCTTGATTTATCTATCCTGTGAGGGATCATAAGGCAGTGACCTTGGAGAAAGGAAGAATATTTAAATTTTTATATACAAATTTATCCTTCCTTTTTCTTTTTTTGAGGCCCAGGCTAACGTCAAACTCCCAATCTTCCTGCCTTAGCCTCCAGAGTGCTGGTAGTGGAACCTGTCCTAACACACCTGGCCACAAAGTAGTACCATCTTGCAAGCTAGTTGTTTCAGAAATACATGGTTTTATTGTGTTGCCATTTTATCAGATACTCTTAGGATGTGTCCTATAATGTTTCTATACCAGAGAGTTAAGCCTTTTACTTTAGAAGTGCGCCTTAAGCTTGGTCCATCATAATGAGCAAATTTACTAATCCAACACCAGGCTTACTGCAGATGACAGAAATACTTTTAATTGCTAAATTGGCACCATTACAGAAATTCCAACATGATTTATAATCTGAGTGCTAATTTCAAAAATTTGAGTGCAACAGCATGATTTTATTAACTACATCTTTTCTAGAAACAGATATTAGGGTATGCTAGTTCTTAGCTGCTTGGTTAAAAATCTCTGATTTATGCTCCTTGAGGAAATGGGGAGCTTTTCAAGCTGTAAGCCTTAATCTATGCTGCATGCATAACACATAACCCATAAACTTGCAGTGTAAAAAACATATTATCAAGAGTTTCTGTGAATCAGGAATCTGGAAATAGCCAGGCTCAGTAGTTCTGGTTCAGAGGCTTAATGAGGTGTCATCCCAGCCTCGGTCATCTGAAATCTTGAGTGTGGATAAAAAGAATCACTGGGAGGAGGAGGAAGAGATAGGAAGGCCATGCGGAGATAAAGGAGCTGAGCACAGCACTGGGCTGGTGGGGAAGTGCCCGGCCAGCCCCTGCCAGCCTGAACTTCTCCCTATGCCCACATGAGTGAGAGGCTGATGGGGTGCAATCCATGCCAGCACCTAGGACCCCAGAAGACCAGACTCCTATTATCTAAACCCTGCCCAGGCACCCTGTGGCCATGAGCACCTGGTGGGTGAGCTTCCAGGGTTGGGTGGGGAACAGCGCTGCCCCTTGGGCAAGGGATTGGCTGAAAGCTGGAGTGTGTGCAGTGACAGCATGCCTCACCTGGGTCTCTGAGAAAAGGAAGGCTCGGGAGAGAGTGGGTGCCCAGGAAGATGACCATAGGAGTGCTTTAGAGAAAGACTGGTGAGTTGGGTGCTCGAGTTTGGTAGATTTAGCTGACGGTCCATTTGTGGGGAGTAAGATGAGAAGTTTTATTCTGAAGAGATCAACTCGCTCCTTAGTAAGCTGAAGTGGGAGCTGGAAAGAGATTTAAAAGAGAAGGGGGACACACTGCAAGTTCAACTGGCACCTTTTGGCAGATCCTGCTGCACTGCAGGCCCCATTGGGAGTTGAGCACAGATCATCAGATTTAGGACCTGAGACCAGGATGCCCCTCTGACTCCCACCATTAGGGGCTGGGGGGGAGGAGTTGAACTCACTCTGTAACCCAGGTTAGCCTCAAACTTGAAGTGATCCTCCTGCCTCAGCCTCCCAAGTGCTGGGATTACAGGCGTGTACCACTATGCCCAGCAGACTGCCAGTTTTAAGTACAAGAAAAAAAAAAAAAAAAGTAATCCCATCTGGAGGTCTGTAGGCACCAGCAAAATCAAATGTGTCACATAGCCAGTTAAGACCTCTGAAGATGGAGGAGAAATGAGCAGCACTTTTCATGAGTAATAGATGCAAAACCTGAGAGGTCAAATGGTGTTTTTATATTAACACCCTGACGGTAACACTGCTGTTGGAATTCAGCATTTTTTTTTTTTTTTTTTTTTTTTGCAGTACCAAGATTCGAACTCACAACCTTGCACTTGCCAGGCAGGCACTTATGCCACTGAGCTATATCCCCAGCCCCATAATTCAGCATTCTTGAATTTAAAGATACCTGATTTTGCCATGGTTCAAAATTAATCAGACTTCGCGTGGCTCAGCACAGGAAATGGTATCCTAACTCAAAAGATAAAGCATGATTTAATCATGCTCGATTTGCACTATATTTCCCCAAATATCCCCTCTGTGTTTGAGGGTGGTTTTAACCATTTTTGCCATGAGATCCTTAATGAGGTTCACATTTACACAACTCTAAACCAAATTATCTCCTTGAAGACAATTGAATCTTTTTTTAAGAGTAAAAGAAGGATAACAGTAATAGAGGGGGCTTACTGAATTACAGACAAAGTGGTAGGAAATTATCAATGGTTGTTGTTTTACATATTGTTATCTACAAGGTAGTTCCTGAGGAAAACATATAGACAAATAATAGTGAGTTACAGACAAAAGTGGTAGGTTATTATCAATGGTTGTTGTACTATGGTATCTTCAAAATGGTTTCTAAAGAAAATAAATAAAGCTATACATGAGTGACCAATTGAATAATCATTGACTATTCTCAATGGTGGCTGTAGGAAACACATAGTAATAAACACAACCATTTACAAAGTAGTGTAGGAACAATACAAACATTACAGTTATGGATAGATTAGTAGGAAAATATCAATGGCTGCTGTAATACATGGTGGTATCTTCAAAGTGGTTTCTCAGGAAGAGAGAGATACGCAAGAAGAATCTAACAAGTAGTTACAGCCTAAGGGTTGTGAAAAATTGCACATTACCTCCTCACCAGTGACTCCTTTCACTGGGGTG